TTAATTAAAATAAAGGTTTTGCATTATTGTTTTCTCAGATTTTGTTTCAGGTCATTTAATATTTTCACATTTTACTTTTCTTAAAACTTAAATTTACTGATGTTTCATTTTTAAATCTATATTTTTTACCTGCAATCTCTTTTTTTTTAAACTTTTTTTTAGCAATTAGCTTTTCTTTTTTAAATTTCTTTAACTATCACCTCCTCTTCACTTCAAGCCTGATATTCGAGCATCATCACTCCTCTGTTAAAACACTTTACAGTACAGTATTTTATTGTTTAACTTTTGAATCTTCACTATTATTTTATTCTTATACATTTTTCTAAGGTCCATATTTGTGTGACCATATTTTCTATAATCTTTTTGCTGTTGTAAACATCAGAGTTTCCCCATTGTGGGCCACAAAAGGGATTCTGTATTCTATTCTATTGACCCCAGAAGTGAAGAGACAATTTGAAAAGAATGTCATTAGTAAAACTCATCTGGGAAAATGATATTTTTGGGGGATCTGAAGAAACAGCAAAGTTTCATTCAGAACACACATTTTGGATTACGTAGTTTTTCAAACTTTCACATCTTACAAAAAGCATTCTTTGATTTCAACAATTATGGAACAAAATTCCTTCCGTACTTTGGAGCCAGTGTAATGTGATTATTAATAACAACAGATTAACTTTTAACATCTGTTTTGATGTCCAGGTGGTGAGCAACAGAGACACTCAGGAGACCTTGCTGTGTATGGCATGTGTGTTTGAGGTGTCAAACAACGACCACGGAGCACAGCACCACATCTATCGACTGGTCAAGGAATAACACACTCCTTCTGATCAACGGAAGCACATCTATGGCCTTTGCTTGGTGATCATTCATGGTGACATTGATGGGAGAGAAATTTATCCCTTAGAAGCTACCAAAACGTCAGTCCACCAAAAAAAAAAAAAATAAAATCAATAATGCTAAATAATAAAGTACAGATTAAAATGGTTGCATTTTCACTGCCAATTTATAAACTAGCCATCAACAAAAGCAGTTGGATAGTAGGCTGTCCCCGCCCCCCCGCAGAACTCCACCACATGAGGAGCGTTTATCGTCTCTCCCACTAAATCCATTTTCTTAGTGCACCAGAATTTTACGGCAGTGATGACAGGAATAAAAGTGGGATTCATGTGATATGCTTTTGGGGAAAACAACAGAGGGAGAAGAAGAGACATCACCCCCTGGTGGAGGAAAAAAGCATTATCAGCCAAGACATTCCGAAGGTCAGACCCTGTGTGTCATCAATGAATTGTTATGGGGGGAAAACAAGGACATTTCTGCATAATGGTATGGTAGAATATAGATCTGGATGTGTGCAGATAGACACTGCAGGTTGTGCCAGTTGGGCTCTTGCACAAGAGGTGTTTCCCAAAGAAAAAGAATCCAAGTTTATACTTTTTTGTATGTTTCCTTTAACACACTCAAAAAAAAAAAGAAAAGAAAAAAAAACTTGGGATGTTGTTTTATGGATTGTAGCATATAGATTATATTTCAATTCCCCAACTATCTTAAATTTATTAAAGCATAATGGGGGAAAAAACAGAAACAATTCAGGTACCTATTTGTGCAGCAGGCGACTCTTCATCCAACCCTTTAGACTTTAGTCCAGATTTTACTGAATACAGCACAGAGATGGTGGATTCTGGTAAAGACTGAGACAAATGATGACAAGTATGGAGTCAATTTTTTTCCATTATTTTTGCAAAAAAAAGAAACATAAAAAGGATGCAATTAATCTTTGAAACACTTCTTAATCAACAAAGATTCTGAGGAATTTTGCTGTTTTCTAAGCTTTTATTCGTTTTATAATTTTTCTTATCTTTAATCTTTAAAAAAAAACCTTTTATTCTTTTTTCAGATTTCTCTTTTTCATATTGAACTCTCTACATTCTCTTGACTTCTGGGGCGGGCTTTTCTATGGAGTTAGGAGCAAAAACAAATTTCTGTTGGTTTGCTTGGATGTAAGCAACAAAAATTTTTATCGATCATGAATGAGAATTTGCACTGGGCTCGAAGTAAAGAGAATGTTATCTGTGAAACGCAATTTTAAAAGAATACAACTCAATCTGAAAAAGAAATATTATAAAAAATATACAAAGAAAGAAAATTGAAAACTAAAGTCTTAAAAGACAGCAAAGTTTTTCAAAGTTTCATTTTTTTTATGCATTTTTTTTTTCTTTTCAAATTTTTACAAAAAAATGTTATCGTTAAACAATATTGGAACAAAGTTCACTCCATAGAATGATCCAAGACACTGGGATCATTATTTAAACACTCTTTAGATTCCTTGGAAAAGCACTGTGATTGTCTCTTAAACTGCATCATGCATAAAGTCTGGTTAAAGCATTTTTATTTCAGTATTTCTACCAGCAAACTAGAGCCTTAATGCCCGAACCACCAAAACCTGAGATTCTTCTCAACCTGTTCCGACCGACTGCCATGGCTGCAGGCTTAAGAAGCTCCTGCGTCAGGATTATCGATGACACCCTTCCCCTTCTATCACTACCCTCCTTTATGAATCCAAAACCAAAAAAAGCTCTGATGATGGTGGAGTATCTTGTAGCAGTTGTTCTCCGATGGCTTGTCTGTGTTATACTAAGCAGTGTGAAGTGCCTTTGGCTGCAGACAGCAGTAGACATTTCTGTTCGGTTTCACTGATGCTCCATGTTTTAGAGGAAGCTCTGTTGGCGTAAATGAACTCCGGTTTCCTGCTGTCTTTGTATCCTGTTATCTAAAGTCTGATATTTAATGTATTATTTCAATGACGGTCAGCACTGGATCCTCTTGAAAGATCTGTTTATTTTCACAGTTAAATGGATCTTTCCCTCTTTTTTTTCTTTCTTTTTTTGGTATTTATTGGCAGTGTTTGTTGTGTTTGTTTTTGTGCATCAGATGTAATTGCTTCATGTTAGAAGAGCTTGCACACTTCATCTAATGAGGGGTCTCAATCAAACTACACCTTTTTTTTAGAAGAACAATAGTTAAAGTCCAATTCCAACACGAACCTCTACTGAATAACTGTCTAATTAGTTAAATGCATGGGCTGGCATGATAAGAATAAAAAATATTGCATTTTTGATGTATTTGGGACTAAAAATCAAAACAAGAAAGAATCAATATCAATATTAATTTATGTCATTTAAAACAGAAGAGCAACCATTATTCCTGCTGCTAGAATTAAATAAAATTAAGTGGCTTTCAAAGAGAAAACAAATACCAGGCCTGGTTATAAAAAAAGTTTTGAGTTTAATGATTTACAAATAGTTTCCACTTCTAATGCAACATTTATCATGTACGAGCAACTGAACCCACTAACCAAAGTGCTAGCTCAACTTTATTTGACTTTATTAATCTGATTAATTCCAAATTAAGTTCAGCTAGCACAGTGCTAGCTCAACTAGCACGAACAAAAGTGCTAGCTCAACTTTATTTCACTTTATTAACCTGATTGATTCGAAATAAAGATTAGCTAGCACAGTGCTAGCTCAACTACCACTGACCAAAGTGCTAACTCAACTTTATTTCACTTTATTAACCTGATAAATTCGAAATAAAGCTGAGCTAGCACAGTGCTAGCTAAACTAGCCCTAACCAAAGAGCTAACTCAACTTTATTTCACTTTATTAACCTGATTAATTCAAAAAAAAGCTGAGCTAGCACAGTGCTAGCTCAACTAGCACTAACCAAAGTGCTCGCTCAACTTTATTTGGACTTAATCAGATTGGAAATTACTTAAAGAGTGGATGTAGTGAAACAGATTGAATGTTAAACTTGAAATGCTAATCAATAAGGATGCAGCACATTTAACAGCTTTATTGCTAAATACATATACATTCGATAAATAATTACTAATTCCATGGTGTTTTCCTGAGTACTAAGGGTGTGAATTTGTAAGAATTTGATTCAATACGTGTCACGATAAAATATATCCCGATATATTAACAAAGAGCTCTGCTTTGCTGCACTGCCAACTAGTGGCTGGAGGTTTAAGAGTTATAGTAAAAAGAATTTAAATGCATGCTTTCATTCTATTTATATTTAAGATCCATTTGGCCTGATTTTGAATCAATAAAATAAAATTCTCTATTCAATCCTGTACCGTGTTTTTAAAAGACCACTGGTAGAATAACAAGCTGATGTTAGCCGTTTATTTAGCCAAGCCATTTATTCAGTTAGCTAGCTCAAAAAGTAGTTTTAAAAACGCAAAAGCAACCAGTGATGCTAATTTAATTACTACACTGTTATGTATGTTAAATATTACATCCTAAAATAATGAACAATAAGCCACATTTGTTTTCTCAGTTACCTTATTATAAAGGGAAATATTCGCAATTTCAAAACTTTTTTTAAAAACATAGTTATACTATTGTACTGGGAACCAGCCCGTTACCAGTTTCTCTAAAGTGCACATAAATGTAAGTTATTAAGAATTAATCAAATGGTGTCCTTTTCAGAGCCATTCAAAAGAAAGTTTTAGGATTTCACTTGATAAATGAAATAAACCCAACATTCAATGGCAGCAGAGTGAATTTGGTCCCGCTTTTCATCGCCAAAGCCCTATTTCTGCTGAGTGTTTATAAATGCAGGAACATTTTGGCCCTTTAATCTCTCTAATAATGCAAAACTCAAAAGAATTTTTAAACATTAAATATTTTAATGCTTGTATATTAGGTAGAGGTTCAGCTGCTTAGCTGTTAGGAAAATGCATTTGTCTAAAACCACCAGTGGGAGTCATGGATAGTTTCAGCGAAGGCTGCTTCCTTCGCTCCCAAGTGTTAAAAATTCCTCGCAGTCCTTTGGCAAGTGTTTTTTTTTTTTTTTTTTTCAGCTTAAGATTTTTTCTACTGAGTTAATGTTGAATCACCTGAATCTAAAGATGAAAATAGGTGCAGTCATAAAATGAGGCCCAAAAGTGTCGAAAAATTGAAAAATCAAAAAGCAAAAAAACCCCAAGAAAGCAGAAATGGTTGCTCCTATGATTTTCTGCCAGCTGCGATGGTTAGAGGTGTCCATAAGGCGTCATGCAGTGTAGCAGATGCCTCCATTCTGAAACATTTCCTGATCGACGGCCAATCTGACCTTTTTCTGGTTCAAATTCATCTCTGTTAACCTTAAGACCTCTGAATTTATGACCGACCGACAGAGTTTTGTCTCACGCTGCACTAATTTGTTTGCAGACAGGCTTAAAGAGTCTCTACCCCAGTATCAACATGCAGCATGTGAGTGTTAACCTAGCAGGCCGCCTCGAAGCCGCTGATGCTGTTTGGACATCGGATACCACCTGCTTACCAAAGACTGTAACAATGAGGCACAAAATACAGCAAAGTAATGATGTCATGGGAGCAGCAAATAATCTGGACACATCCTAACATCTAAGCTGGCAGCCTGTGTTAAAACTGCAGGAAATAGATCTCTATAAACTGTGAGTTGTTATAAAAAGGTCTGTTTGCAGTCAGATAAATGTTCTCTTTTGAATACCTTCTCATCCTGTTGGCATTAAAGGGTAACTCAGTGTGCAAACTCCATGCCTGAAGGTGTGGCTGGAGTAGAGCTCAGCCTGTGTGCTTAATGTTGTCTTGTGTGTGTAATTGAGGCATTTATCTCCTATCCTGAACCATGTTTGGCAGAGATCCTGTCTGTAAATCAGCTCCAAAATGGCCTTGAAACTTTTCGCTCCTGTGGACATGCAGCACGCCTGAACGTTCACTGAGGCTTTCCAGAAGGTGCTTTGTATGAAAGTAACAATAACCTTTATTACAGATGTTGTGTATATCTTTGATATCCTGATGTTTATCCTATTTTGTGAAGAAGAGAGAACATTTAGAAGAAAAAAAAAATGAAGCCAGAAACTAGTAATATGTGTGTGTGAATTGGAGTTTCACAGGGTCTGATCTTTGCTTTGTAACTTTTATTCCCCTCATATGGCTAAAAGTATGTTAGATATTTTCTAGCTTTGTAGACACTTTGTACGCATATGCTATTCAGTTTAAATAAATTGTCAGTTCTAAACTGTGACTTTGTGCTGTTCATTATCTCTATCTTACGTTTTTTTTTTATAGAATTCGTTTTTTCTGTTGCAAATAAAGAATACAAATATAATGAATGTAAATGGAAGTTTTAAGAAAATGCAACTTTAAAAAAGTCCTGCTGTTTTCAGAGTTTGTTTTCTTTCCAAATCTTCTAAACTTTCTTTATCCAAATTTATTTTCACATATATTTTTCAGTTTTTTTTTGTTGTTTTTTCATTCGAATTGCATTTTCAAGGTCACATTCTCTTCCCTCCTGGGGGCAGGCTTTCTTCTGTGGTGAAGAGCGAATATACATCTCTGCCGCTTTGCTGGACGTAAATACATTTTCAGTGCATTTGTATTTGGCTTAAAAAGAAAGCTATCTGGAAAACACTATATGAATAGAATGCAATTTGTTAAACTCAATCTGTAAAACAGAAATGTGAAGAAAAAAATGGAAAGAATGAAATCTGAGAAAACGGCAACATTTCTCTAAAAGGCTTTCTTTTTGCAAGGATCTTTTCAAAGTGTAACTTCTGCTTGAAACAATAATGGAACAAAATTCTCTCTCTCTCTCTCTCTCTCTCTCTCTCTCTCTCTCTCTCTCTCTCATTGCCAAATAATCATCCTTTCACCTACATGTTGACAGCTGAAAAGCCGTGCTTGGTCCTCCCCTAACATGCATCCTATTTGGTATCTAAGCTTAAATCCTTTTGACTCTCTTATTTTTAATTAAACTCTAATGCAGATGTCCTCAACGAGCAATTATGGAGAGCCAAAATACATTATAAAACAGATAATGGTGAATGTCTCATTAAACAAGTGCATGTAATATTACGTAATTGATTAATATTAAATAATTAAATGCATTTTTCTAAAATAAACGTATCTGATGCGATTACTTGACTTTATATGTATGAATATATATATAAAGTAGTTATATTATTGATATTATATATAATTAAATATGTTATCATGTTTGGGGGTCAAAGGCTGAAATGATTGGAAAGAGGTCCCGGGATCAAATCAAATATAACAAGCCCCTGGAAGCAACAAAAGTTTATATTTGTCTAAAAGTAGCAGACATTGTTCGAAGGCTGTAGGAAAGAGCAATTTCTGTTAACGCCATTGGGCCCGAAACGCAACCCAGTTGAGAGGTGACCAAGGGCTTGTTGGTCTAGGGGTATGATTCTTGCTTCGGGTGCAAGAGGTCCCGGGTTCAAATCCCGGACAAGCCCTTCTGTTCTGTTTGGTGATGCATGCAAGTGCAACAGGAGAGATTATCACAAAACAGAAGAATTATAGCTGATTTTTAAAGTTCAGCAACTTTAGAAAGTCTAATCTTGAGAAAGTCTAATACGTTCAGTGACTTGAATTAGTCAGCAATCTCAAACTATGGTGTTAATATAACACATCTCAGTCACTTTCATTTCATAGCTTTTACAGTAGCTGCAATTCAAAATGGCCCTTCCAGGTCAAATGCCAGCTGAATGGCAGTCCATTTGCCTCAAACCTCCAGGCACTCTTTCATGTTGTGTTTACTCTGAATCCACCCTTTCACTGAATTACAGGGTATGACCAGGTGACAAGTCTTCTCTTCAGGTGTTAATGTCAACAAATCATGGACAGAAAGATTTTTTTTTAGTACAAATATTGATGTTTATAAATGAATTGTAGGGGACCAGAGAAGGACCGACCAAGCGTCCATTAAGGAAAGTGGGGAAATTTTGAATGGCTGCTACTGTGTGTCTTGGCATTTGTGTTTAAGAATGGAACATAAATTCAACAAATGTCAAGGCTAAGACAAAGCCAAGACATCCCATTTTTTTAAAGAATTTAACAAATTTGCTTGAAAATATAACCAAGGATTTCTCCTGGATTTCTATCAAGGTAAGACCCACCACAAGGCGCTAAAACATAATTCTAGTATAACAAGCCCCTGGAAGCAACAAAAGTTTGATTTGTCTAAAAGTAGCAGACATTGTTCGAAGGCTGTAGGAAAGAGCAATTTCTGTTAACGCCGTTGGGCTTGAAAGTGCACCCTAGCTGAGATTTGACAAAAGTCAGAGCAGAGTGGAAACAAAATTGTTCGTTGGCTGCAAGGAGCCTCCTACCAGCCTGGCAGGAGATCCAAAGTCTTTGTGCACCCAAAGTGCAATCTTTCTTGGGCTCTAGGCCTGGACCTTCAGCTCGCCATCAACACCTGGCCTGAATAATAAAACAGGACCATTTTCTCAATATATATATAATCAAAACATTCTAGTGTGCACACAAATCTAGTTAGTGGCACTCTTTGCACTACATATAATTCTAAACAATTTTCACTCAATATGCATATTCAATA